AACCAGAATCCATTCAATAACTCATTTTCTTACGTAAACCAGAGACCTACTGACACCAAAGAGATTGAGAGGAGATACTAGAATAATGATATAAGCAGAGCCCTCAGAGAAGTGGTAAGAAAAAATATGTATACTGGGTCATCTGAAAAGTCATGTAGTAAAATATGTCTTGCTTTTTCTGATGACCCAATATATAGTATCTATATTATATATGTATGCCTGTATATAGTATATGTGTTTGTATACACACACACACACACACATACACATTAGCAGTCTTGAAAATTTTTTCATATCTAAAGGTTGCTTAACCTTTGTTTTGACAGTGAGTATAACTCCCTTTTATTAGATATTATGCCAGTTTTACTTGAGGGTACTTTATATTCCACCCAATTTTATTAGCTCAATGCATTAAACTCATGATTGGAAGCTGATATAGGCAATATACATAATTAGTGTCAATTATTCCAGCATTAACTACAAATCTTTGGGAATGAGTTCTTCCCATGAAATTGCAACTACTAATTGAAAATTTGTAAATTCATCTTATATGTGGATAAATATTGTAATAAATACTAGAAAGCACAGTGGAGTAAGAATTTCCTCATCATAATTACACACACATATATGTCAATAATATGATCAAAGTGTTGAAAGTATACTGCAATTAATATTTAAGTGAATACCTAACTTCTGTGGTGCAGCAGTAACACAAATATACTGAAAAGGTTTCAGCCACATGGCCGCCTGCAGTTTCAAATCCCAGTGTCTTTCTAAAAGCATGCCAGGCTGGAGCACCCAGGAGACTGAGGAGCTTGAAGGCTGGAAAAAATTGGACCCCACTATGGAGGAAGCTATCAAGAGTGCTTCTTTCTCTCTCTCTCTCTCTCTCTCTCTCTCTCCTCTCTCTCTCTCTCTCTCTCTCTCTCTCTGAGAGATTTTTTCGATTTTTTTAGAGACAGAGAGACAGAAAGCGAGAAATCTCCCCCAGGGGGGATGGCCACGCTGCAATCCCTTCTCCTCTATTCTCCTCTTGGGATCTTGGACACGCACGCACATGCGCCTGGCATGAGTTTTAAGCCACTGGGTCCGGGACTCGAACCACGGTCGACTACATGGGAGTCCAGCAACATAGCCATTACACTAACTGCTGGTCCCAAGAGTGCTTCTTTCTCTCTCACAAACACATGCATGCACTATCTATACTTAAACAACTCTGTAATCTAAAATGACAGAAAATGGGAAGGACAGCGATTCCAGGAAAACCACTGCCCCTTTCCTGGAACAGTCATGAATAAACTGTCCTTAGCATGGATTAAATATATTTTCAGATGACCCAATATTGAGTCATCTGAAAAGTCGTGTAGTAAAATATGTCATGCTGTTGTAAAATATGTTAATGTCTGTCATATGGCAGATATTAAAGAATAAGGCTGTCCTGCCTATGGAGCTGTTGTAAAATATGTTAATGTCTGTCATATGACAGATGTTAAAGAACAAGGCTGTCCTGCCTATGGACCAGTCCTTCTATCTTTTCTTTAGGGAAACAGCTCTCCCCTTTTCAGAAAAAGGAATTAAACTTTGCACCCTTCTTCTCTGATAGAGATGCTCCACCAGTTCAGTAATTCTCTCTGTTAGTTTACCTTTAAAAAAACCTTTCTTCCACTTTCCCTTGAAGTTAACTCTTAAATTCCATGCTTCACAAAGCCTAGGGCCCTCACACCCCAGATATAGACTTCTATGACTTGAGTCTCCCCATTGACAAAAGAAATAACATCAGGGACTAACAATAGTATAGCTGTTACATTGCTGTACTCACAGATGTCAGACCATGGTTCAAGTCCTGGACATGGTGGCTTGAAAACCTCAGTGGCCATATGTGTGTACATGCCCAAGATCATAGGAAGATAATGGAGAGGGGTTTGTGACATGGCTATCCCCTCTGGGCATGAGTGTGTGATTTCTCCCTTTCCCTCTCACTGTCTCTGTCTCTCTCCAGCAAGAGCACCCATCCTAAGACAAAGACCTCTAAAAAAATAAAAGAAAAAGAAACAAGGTCATAAAATAATTAGAAATGAGTGACTCAACAGTAAGTGACTAGATCACTTCAAGTATTAAAAAGGACAATTTGCGTTTTTATACTCTGTGTAGACAATTGAAATTTTTTTCTGGTTAAATGATTAATAAAAGTTTTCAAAGAGAAGAGTGTAGAGGAAAGCACTGTGATGAGAAAGGTAGAGAAACAGTGAAAAATAAAATTTAGTTGGATAGAAAAACACAGAAAGAGGAGGAGATATAGGCATAGAATATCAAGAAGCATACATAAGTGTAAGACAGACAAGTAAAATAAGAGGGACAGATGAAGTATCAAAGAAAGGATGAAGAAATAATGAAAAACTGTGGTGGATTGGGCCAACAGTTCTTTTTTTATTATTATTAAATTTATTTACATTCATTCACTGTATATCATTACAGCAAAAAAGTGAGATTTTCCATCCAGAGTGCATTGTATATTGGCTCAATCAAGCTGATCAACATACATGTTATCGTCAACAAATAATTTCCATTTCTTGTTTCCTTTATATTTTGCTTTTTGTTCCCATCCTTGATTCCCTATCTCTTACCCTCTGCCATCTCCCACTCTCCTCCCACACTGTCTCTGGTATCTGTCAACTCTGATATTTTATTTTTAAAACTCAAAATTAAAAGTTAATTTTTATATAGAATTTATATATGAAGGGGAGGTTTGGCATGCAGTATCAATATATGAACTGTGTTGTTCATATATACTAGTACTGCTTAAAAGTTCTTTCTATATTGAATAGTTGGTCCAGCTGCTGTGGCATGGTAAGTAGCACACTGAATAGAGTTCTGGAAGCCACATGGCCAACCAAGTCAACCTGAAATATCCCAGGTTTGTATGCACTTGGTCAAGATACTGGTGAAATGGAGAAGTGGGGGAGATTAGGCATGACCAGACCTGTTGATAGTACTTCTCTCTCTTTCTCTCTATCTCTGTGTCTTATCTGTGCATGTTCTAAAACTATCTTAAATAAAAATAGTTATTTTATATTTGTAATTAAAATGCTTAGAACTGACCTTTTCTAAAAATCCTATTAATCCTGGGACCAGCAGTTAGCGTAATGGCTATGTCACTGAATTCCCATGTAGTTGACCATGGTTCGAGTCCCGGACCTGGTGGCTTAAACTCATGCCGGGAGCATGTGTGTGCATGCCCAAGATCCCAAGAGGAGAATGGAAGAGAAGGGATTGTGGCATGGCCATCCCCCC